CAAATATCTATCTAATAATATCTGTTTTTATCTCTTTTGGTCTACAATTGTTACTTAAAACATGTGATGTGAACAAGACCAACTACATCAAAGCTGCCTTGTAACACACCAGTGGTGTTATGACACTTTTTGACAAAAAGCATAAAACTCATTCTATTTCTAAACCACTACATAACATTTAGTTCAAATCATTCTGTTCCCTGAAGGACAGTGGGTTGTCCACTACCATATAAAGTATATATTTAATGAGAAAGTTGGAAAGCAGTGATGGAGAAAGTGTCGACCAGGCACAGGAAAGAGGGATCTGGCAGGCTTTAATCTCAGGCTAGCAGGGGATTTGGGGTCCAGGGTTTTTGTAAGCTCTACATCATCGATAATAGCAGGAGTTTACATAACTTTTAACCATCTTACTCATCTATTCTAGTATAATCACACTGCAGTCATGACTAAATTACATTATGCACAAAAAGTCTCATACTACCTAGTTTGCAAGTGCCTACCTTCACTTAGACCAAAATGATGAGGGTTTAGAGAGTTGAAATGTGAGCTCCCAACCCCAGAAACAGAGCCGCTGGAGGCATTGGACTCTGTATGTAGAAATAAAAGGTGAAAAAAAAGGCAATGGCAAGGTCTTTAGTATCATTTTCAGCCATGCAACAGCGCCATCACTCTCTCATGAAGTGAATCTAAGCTGATTCATTACATAATCCTGTGACATGTGCCTGTCTCTCTGTACAGATGGACTCACTAACTGTCCCATGACACACTCTCTGGCACACACACACACGCACACACTTCAGCGAGCACACAGTGTTGGTTCGTGTACATTCCCTGCTCGGACACATTTTCAGGTGTCTTTCAACACAAATGCATTTGCATTTAATGAGATCATTTGTCACTTGCATTAATAAAGCCTGAGAAATGATAACAATAATGTTTAATGCCACCTGTCAGTCTTAGCATTCTCATCATTTATTACCAGAGTGCTAGACATTGATTTAGCTCTCCACTAATGAAGCCATTGTGATTCAGGACCAGTTAGCGTTTGCCAGAACACCTAATGGCGGTGGACAGAGTGACAGCATGGATTTTATTAATATGTCACATGATTTTCCAGACATGATCCAGTCTCTCTGAATCCAAGGGCAAGTTCAGTCTTGTTAAAATGCAAGGATTTCAATGAGATGAGGATGGTGCGCAGATAGGATTGTAGTTGGATGATTTAGTGTCTTACATCCCAAGTATGTGTGAGTTTGCGTACTTGTCTGCATGTGTGTGTATGTATGTGACCGCGTGTGTCTATTTGTACTGTGTCTGTACTCAGGCTCTTGAATGAAAAGATGAAGAAGGGGCACAAGGGGTCACGGTGGCTATTAGATGTATGACTGGGTTTTAGGATTTGGTTTCTCTGACCTCCCCTCCCCCTTCGCCAAACGCCCATCTGTCCAGCTGACCAATGGGCTGTGGGCTCTGTGGATCAGACTCTCTTGCCAATAGATCGCTAATCCTTATCTGAGCATGCTCAGTGACCTAACTGGGGCAGGGACATGACAAAGGGTGCAACTACTATGACATGCTGTCCAACCTATAAGTCCTCTGCTGTAATGTTTATAAGGATACGTTTGCTTCGGGAGCACGGGCTACTATCAGAAACGTATTGTTGGTTTTAATGTTAAATCCCACAGTGAGTACCTAAAATGGGATTTGCAATTTCAAATTCCTGGAAAAAGTTTGAAAGCATATTTTTCTATTTTTCATCAACATCTGGATGATGGATGTTGATTTTTTTTCCAGATTAAGACTTTTCTACATAGTTCATGGAGATAAAGTCAACATTTATACAAGTATACTAATATCTTAAAGCTTGGAATGCATCTCTGAGTACAGTTGATAGTCTGAGAAGATAACTGAGATTACAGGTTATATTATTCAAGATAACTAATGTTGTAATGTGATCTAGTTATTAATGTTACAGGACTTTCCGCCCCACACAATGTGATAAAACCTCTGTGTGTGTGTAAGTGTGTGTGTATCAGTGTGCAGGTACAAACAGTAGTGGCGGCCGCTCTGTGAGAATGGAACCTAAGACCTCAGATCCCCGGGAGGAAAAGGAGGGGATGAAGATGATTTATGGGTTTCTCTGAACTGCACCATATGCCCGCCATAAATCTACACATACACACACACACACACAGATAACAAGGGTTTGTTCACATCAGGGTCAGGTTCAAGCCAAATACACTTCTCTAAACCTGAGATAAAAAAAGACAGGAAGACTCTTTGATGCTATGATCTTTCTTTCTGGTGTCCCAGAACTGCAACCGGTTGTTTTTTTGTTTTTTTTTAGGTTTTATATATTGCAAATTACATCAATTAATTGTGTATATTTTGTGCTTTCATAATTTAGGAGTCAATTATTTTATGAATTAAATATAGTTGATAGTTTTATCCTAACAAGAAACAGCTTATATCTGAATAAGACTTTGCCATTGTGGATTAAAGCTGCAATGATTATACGATTAATCTATTAGTTGATGGATGAAAAATAAACAACTGTTACATAATCAACAGTCCATTTTTATGTAAAAAGTAGTTTCATCTTTGTAAATGTGTGTTTTTTTTAAAAGTTGTCTATTTTAGTTGAATACCTTTTGGTTTTTGGACTGTTGTTTGGAAAAATTTAAATTGCCATATGGATGTAAACACAAACAAAACTATAAACAAGCGGGCTTTTAAAAAGCTTTACAAAGGACTGTAACTTTGTTTATACAAAGTTAAAGCTTCTGTCAGCCCCTCCTAAATCACAGCTAATCGGTGAATTCTTTGAGTTCCCTACTGATGTCAGCCAAGCAACAAAAGTGCTGTGCTGTTCAACAAAAGCTCTTAATGGATTTCCTTTAGACAAAAAAAAAAGTCTGACGACATCACAGTGGTGCCGAAATCCCAGCTCCTCCCACGTCCTAAGTGCTTTTCTGGTGGAACATGAGAGGTCCGCTGCCTACCAAGATGGCAGGTTTAAATTTAGCATGAGGGCGAGCAGGAGATTGAGGTCCACTTTACTGTACATTGAAGCGGCTGACAGAATCTGTTCACTTCCGACCCAGGTTGTTTAAAATCATTCAGTCAGAACAAATACAGTCTAAATGTCCATATAGTTTGACGCTCTCACACTCAAGATGGGACGACAAACATCTGGCATTAACGTCACAAATATATATACGGCCAATGTACAGCTTAAGACCTAAGTTGCAGGATGAATTATGTATGAAACAAACACAAATGCACTACTTCTCAGCGAATAAGCACATCCATATACACACATTTACTTGGTCACAAGTCTCCAAAACACTCGTGCTGTATCATTTGATCAGCTGTGGCTCAGGTAAAACTAACAATACCACACTTTACAAATACACCAGTAAAAGTACTGCATTCAAAAGGCGTATTGTCACCTGAATGTACTGAAATATCAAAGGTAAAAGTACTTTTTATTTATGGATTCACATGTAAGAAGCATTTTACTGTTAGCTGGTCAAAGGAGGAGCTTATTTAACCATTTTATGATCATATTTTAAGAACTGCATAAAAATCAACTTGTTTAAATGAATAGTTCAACATTTTAGGAAACACATTTATTTGCTTTCTGGCCGAGAAGTAGATGGTACCACAGAGAAACTAAACTATTACCTATTCTCCTTATCTATTTCTTTAAGGGATTTTCACCTTATTCAGATAAAAAATATGAAACCACCTATTTGAACTATGTCACTGCAATGACATGATGTTTTCACTTGTTTTAAGAAAATAACTGAATAAGTAGTAAATGTGCTCAGTTACTCTCTACTTCTGGCTATGGCTAATCTACTTTTCCGCACCTTCCTGAGGGGCTCCAGAGTGCTCATGGGTAACAGCATGAGGCCGCTCAGCTTCTGAGAGGGTTATGGCGCTCTCTGCTTCGCCCTTGGGTCCACCCCCACCTCCAGGTTTACCCTGTGGTTCACCTTCAGCTTCAACTTTAGTTTCACCCTCTGCCTCATCTTTAGGATCAGGAGCAGTAAACCTCTTAGATGAAGTTGGTGTTGTGGCTGTTTGGCAACACAGGTAAAAATCTTGATTAACAAACAAAAACTGAATCTATGGGAACCTGAAACTGAACCTCTAAACTAATTATCAGCCCATTAGAAAGCATCATTCTTTTCTTTGGTAAATCACACCCATTATTTTTTCAAATAACCACACAGTTGTATCTAATTGTAAGAGGAGACCTTTTAAAAGCAGACTTCTGCAGTGCAGTCCAATTGCTAAGTCTATCCATGCATCAGCCTTTTACTGTCCGGCCATGTGGAGAAAAGCCCAGTGCTGTCAGGGTTGATGTTGCCACTTTGCCGATCGTTTCTGTCTAACAGCTCAGAGGCTGAGAGCCTCTCCACAGAGAGAATCCCTAATCAAATTCCCTTTTATTCCTGCCTCCCCGAGCTCCTCACCCAGAATCACACTGCATTACAACACACTAACATATGCCAACATCCTTCTCTCCCATTCCTCTCTCTTTCTGTCTCTTTTCTCTCTCTTTCTGAGCTCTCTGTGCTGCTCTATCCACCGCCCATTCTCACCCAACCTTTGCTCGTCCCTCCCTTCCCTAAATCTATCAACAGCACTGTCTTTAGTCTAAATAAGAAAAGCAGAACTGTGGAAGAATTCCTCCTGTGCAGGTTAGTGTGATGTGCTGTGATGAAAGGACACGACGACAGAGAGGCCTATTAATAATGAAGCACACAGGGCCCAAGCTGCCGCACCGAGAGAGGAGATGCAGGAAAAGAGAATTGACTGACTAGAGAGCCAGCTGAACATCACAGGAGAGAGGGAGAGTTTAGGAGACGTACAGAAGGCGAGGTTTGGGGTTGAAACTTAAATTTAAAAAACAATGCAACAAAAGGGAGGGAGAGACAATACAGGAAGAGAGTGGAATACCACCTCTTCTGCTTTGCATTATTACTTACTAGAACCGGAGGGTGAACCAGCAATTGTACCTGAAAGAGAATAAGAAGAGGAAGAGGAGATGAGAACTTGTTTATTTATGCATTCAATTTGCCTAAAGACTTGACTCTGCCTCATTCATCAGACTCAGATGGCAGAGAGATCTTAAGAGCTGCTCTGCAAAATAAGGGCTTGTTGTAGACCACTTCTCAATGTCCTGGAGTAATTACTAGGTCTCCACTGCCTCCCCCATCCACCCTAATTTAACCTGTTACTCTTGCCCACATCCCCTACATTCAGAGGTCCTCATCATATATGCATGTTTTAAGAGAGCGCTACCACTTTGCTACGCTTGAATCAGAACTTTTTGCCTTTCTTGCACATTTTCCAAGATTTGTATTTATAGTTAGCTTAGCTTGGCATGCATAATGCAGTCTTTAGAGACCAAACTGTTTGGTGAACCATGGCCATTTTGTGTAGCATTCCAACCAAGCAAGTTGCAAACTTTTTAATTTTTAAATTCCACTAATGGGATTCAAGAGTTTAAAAGGGTTGTAATGGGCTCTGAAGGTGTGTGTCAGTACCATTAGAACTGGGTTCGAAAAAAAAACGCATGATAAATAAAAGGGCTGACAATAGAGCCATTCTCTGCAATGTGTGTGCAGGTACAGGTGTATGTGAGTGTGTATCTGCCTGTGTTTCTCTCTCTGCATGTGAGTGTGTCTGTGCTTGTCTGAAGGAGAAAACTAGGGAGGGGCTGCCCTAGATTATTATTTTATCATAGCTAGCTACTGTAGCTGGCTACACTCTCCAAGAGGATTTCCCCCCACGCACTCCCACTTTCTTACACAGCTCTGATCTGCTCTCTGCACTGAGGTGACGACGACTCAGAGAGCTCAGCCTCTCCATCGTCTTCTCTTAACTTCTCCTTTCTTTTCAACTTGCTCCCTTGATCGTAATTTTCATTCAGGACCTCAGTGTGATGAGAAAAGCTATACATTCATCAATCAAGAATGCTGGAGATTGAAATAAACTGCATTGTTGCCACAGGAGAGTCTGGGACCATTACAGTAGCAAAAAATTAGAACAGCATAAGAGATCAAAAGGGAATAAACGGAATATGATCAATTAGGAAATAGGAAATGTTACTGTGAGAATAAAGAGTTCCCACTGGTGTAGAGGAAAAACTGTGTCGTGACCATCACAGATTTTCTTTAGTCAGAGGCACATGTTTTCCTCAGACCAGTTCACTGAGCCGGTTTACTGGCTGTACAGAGGGGTTAAAGTAGGATTTATTCCCATTCTTGGCTCTTTAGTTTGTGGACATCAGTTAACAGGCCACTGGACACTAGTTTGCTGTGTACTGTACTAGAGCTATCGGTGATCCACTATCAGCAACACGACACAAAGCTAGCATAACATTATCAGGGGTAAACTACAAACAATATCTCATGGCTCTCATCAACATCGTTTTGGCTCGTTTCAGTTACAAAGATCTATTGAACGCATTGTACACTGCCTGTTCAGCACCAGGCAGCAGACAGACAAAGTTAGCGACTAGCTGGTTGTACATAGTGGAGCATATAGCAGTTAAAGAGACAGATATTTCCCTCAGGAGTTGGTGGAGACCAAAACAAATCAAAAGGAGAGTGAATATTTGACCTGCATTTGCCGGGGGGGGGCAGAAACACAACTCTAAATAATAAACTAAATTAATTCCTGAGCTTCAGAGGTGCTAATAGGTGAATTTTGTTTCCTTTCAACAGATGCAGCCCCCCCGGGTTAACAATCTCTGTGTTAAGCTAAGCTAACCAGCTGCTCACTGTAGCTTTTTATTTACCGTACAAACATAAGGGTGATATCCATCTTCTCATCTGAGTCTCAGCAAGAAATCAGAGAGATAACTTTTGCAGAATAAATCATCGGAAATCTTCAACAGTCTCTTGTGATTTGTGCCCCACCTGGGACACATCTCCTGTCTGTAGTATTGAATTGCAACATATTTAAATGTTGTCTTTCAGGCATATTGACATGAAATGGTCGGGTAAACACAGGTGTTACCAATGATACTAATTAAGTTTCTAAATGGAACATAACCTTAATTAGCATCCGTGTTTACACTATTTCATGTCAAAGGGGCTGCTGTGAAAAAGGGCTATTAATAGTCGTATTCATGCATGATATAGTAGAGCAAGCTGACAGACACCGAGCAGTGTTTTATCTAACTGTCAGATTTATGAGTTGGATCAACACAGTACGAACAGATAAACATGTTCTGGGTACGTACAGGTGTTGGGGGTTCCATTGGGTGTCGGCAGGTAGGAACCAGCCTTCCAGGATTTGGCTTTGAAGCCCTTCCTGCAGCGCTGGCAGTCCTGGCCCGTGGTGTTGTGTTCACACTGGCACTGGAGGTTCCCATCCTGCAGCAGGCACTGGGAGGCATGGAGGTTACACTTACACCTTAAAAGAAATGAGAACAGACATGAGATGACATTAGTGAAATGTGTAATCACACACTGGTTGTAAGTACTGTGTTAATGCTATTATAGGAGCACTTTTTACACCAAGTGCAAATACTGACTATTGAGGGTCTGATGCAGAGACAGAACATAAATCTCTTGTGGGTGAATTGCATTAAAGTAATACATTTAAAACAAGGAAACAAGATTAAGATTGTAAGATTAAGGTCTTACAAAATATGCATTGTACATAATTTCTTCTTTACTGAGTAGATACTGTAAATTACACTGTATACTTAACAACTACTTAAAAAGTATGAAAAACTTCATTACTTTAGTTACTTTCTTTATATGTATGTAAATGTATGTGTGCATTCATACTGTATTGGTGGTGTTACGGGTGTATACATCTACAGTATGCACGTGTCAGTAAAATGGAGCAGAAAGCAGATATGAGAGTTGAAACGCATAGAAATATGTAGGCACTGTCCTTAAGATTAATTGGCTAAAAAGACATGTATATAAGGAATAGTATAACAGTTACTATGTTAAGTTTACTATGTTGTGTGTAATCATTTTTTTGTCTCAAATGTAGTTTTCTCTCAGAAGTCACTGGCAAAGCTACAGCACAAATTTCTATTTTGATGTTTGCCAATGCAGTTTGTACAGTTGCCAGTCCATCTGATTCTGTCTCATTTGATTTTACCAGCAGCTTTACAAACTACACCCTAACTGATATAAGTAGCAAAATTGAAACCTGAACTGTTTCTACAAAATGTGAAAAGATTAAGTGAATGTAGCACCAACCAACCGTAGGACCATTCATGAATCAATCATCAAGTTGTCGATTAACAGAAAATTAATTGGCAACTGTTTTGATTTTCAAGTAGGGAAAATCCAAAAATTCTTGTCCAAATTCTCAAATGTGAGGTGCTTTTTTTTCATCATACAAGATAGTAAACTGAATATCTTTGGGTTTTGGACGGTAAATTTGAAGACGTCTCCTTGAGCTCTGGGAAATTATCATCTTCTACATCTTCTGGTAATTTATAGAAGAAACAATTTATTGAGTAAACTAAATAATCAGACGTCATGACATGATTATATTTTCAAGAATTTGTATGATCAGTATATACAGTAAGTAGTTTTGGTGTAATTTTTGAGTGCGTAATGAGTAATAATTTAACAAAACTTTCATTTCATCTTCATACAGCAAATAAATGACTTGTAAATATCACTTGCCGCGCTTCCTCTTTCTAAATAATTCTGTAGGACAGGAAAACACATCAGCAGGATGTAAACTGGAAAAAAATTAACACACTCCAAAAGTTGAATGCAAAATATTGTAGGTTCAAGACTGTTGGGAATGTATTTACCCACACTCTATCCAAGACCACCATCTGGGAGCAAATTGTTGTTTACAATTACTGCCTGTGAAATTCAAGTGTCTGTGTGTGTGTGTGTGTGTGTGTTGGTCTGCGCGCATGCATAGACATAATGTGTGCCTTTACGCGTGTGCACAGTGCGACCTCAGCAGAGGGCAGGGCCCAGGTGGGCTGATCCAGAGGTTGAAGTTCTTCTGGGAAGGAAATGAGGATCTTAAGGACACTCTGCAGCTACGACTTCAAATTACAGCCTTTTCCAGATGAGCGACCGGACTCCAATCCAGTTTGTTCCACTGGAGTGAACAGCTATCCGTTTGCATCAAATATTCAAAGAATGGCCCCTGTATTCTGGCGAGATGACTACTTCAATCTTCCTTCCCCACACTAATCTGCGCTTTCTCATCAGTTTTTTTTTTTTTTTTAGGCTTTTCGGCCTATCAACCTCAACCCTAGTTTCACATTACTTTACGCACAGAATAACAATGACTTAAACTTACAAACATGCAGTAAGCTTCACAAGAAAAAGAATGGAGACACTCGATCATGGTGAGTTGTCTCATATCACATTGTTGCTCTCAGTCTTATAAATTACCCACGTTTCTCTCTGATCACCTGGACAAGCTGACAGGACGTGCCAGGGAAAATCCATCCACCGACAAGGCCTTGTTTCCTGCATGCTTTGTGAAGGACACGAGCTGTCCACTTAGCGAAGAGGGAAATTGAACATCTCTTTTTCATGGAGAAAATAGAGAGACTGTGTGTGTGTGCGTGTGTGTGAAATGAGACAGGTGTGTGTGTGTGTGTGTGTGTGTGTGTGTGTGTGTGTGATTGTGATGCATTTGTCTGAGCGCTGCGATGACAGACAACAGATCAGAGAAGCAGAGGCATGGTGACTAATGCCTGCATTGAGTGACTGACAGCGCCGAACGTATCACTGCTTCTCATCTCCTGCATCTTTGGTGATAAATCTCATCTGTCTCATCTTAAAAGTGGAAGTGCCGCTGAGTGCACGATCCAGAAGTTGTAGTTTAAAATCAATACTAAAGAACAGAGTGATTTCCTAGGTATGCTGCTTTGCAGTGTGCGTCTCGCAGACCTAATGGCTGTAGCGTGCTAGAGGAAATGGCCTCCCTCTGGTCAATTATCTGGACAGTTGACATACACTGAGGTTAAAGCCTGAATGAGATGCGTCCGGATGCATTAATAAAATCTCACTGGCTTCCAAATATTAACCAAATCCTCTGCTTACTTAATGATTAAAGCAAATTTTTTTGCATTTTGAGTGGCACAGTCTTGCAGGTTGAAACTTTGTGGACACTCCATCCCCTTGACCTGCTTTTCTGACTCCTGCCACAGTACAGCCAAGGAAGACCAAGAGTACTTCTAGCCTTGCACTCCTTCCGCGCGAATGATGTGACACTCCGAATTTTCAAGTGCTGTGTCTCTTTAGCTCTCTCTCTTTCGGATGACAGCTTGCACTGGGATTTCTCTCGATCCCTTTCTTCAGTCCCTCCACACACAAATAATACATGGGCACAATCATATGTTAATGTGCAAGATGTCTGCCTTCACTGCAAAGTCATCAAAGTGGGAGTAGCTGCTCTGAGCTGAAGGAAGTTAAGATGGGACAGCTGGATCCATCACAACCCTGTCTATTTACTTAGAGAGAGAGAGGGGTGATGAAATGAGAGAAGGTGAATGGAGCAAGAGACAAAGAAGGGCAAGAGTCTAGGAACAGACGGAAATAAGTGATTCAAATGTATTCCAGTCTACATTAGAAACCACACACACAAGATGGTGTTTTAATTAGCTGGTGTAATTATGGGTCAATACTTCTGTTTATCAGTCTGTTGGAGACTCTCCCCCCAAGTAAAACGAAAGTATCAGTTGTTTCAGCAAATCTTTACATTCAAGCGACAAAGCCTCCTAACGGTTGTAGGAATTTTGACTCTAGTTCGTTGAGCGCAAAGGAGGAAGTATGGTGATGTTATTATAGAGCCACAAAGTCTTCAGATGCAGGAGGTCGGGGTGGATGGGTGGGTCAACAAAACATTGGACTTGACTGGAGTTCCCTTCTAGTTTTCTACCGACAATAAATGGTTTCTTTAAAACATGTTTCTTTAACCACAGCAGTATAGGATCAGAAAACGGTTTTATTTTTTAAATGGCAATGTCATCTGGTCGATATTGACGTCATCAGAAATGTCTTGTTCTGGAGGGCGTGGACCAATTATGTATTTGTTGGCTGTGTTTCTTTTCAGTTATAATCCTGAGGATTTCAGTCCTGGTTGATTTGGTGGCACCTGTGATTACTGGTGGTAATTGCTATTGTTTATATAATACAGGGTGCAGATCTTAGTTTTTTGTTTCCTGTGTTTCCTTGCTTGTGTGTGGGAGGAAAGGCGAACTCTGCCACTCACAATGAAAACTACTATATATATACAGACAATTCATGAATGTAAAATTGGCTGGTCAGAAATAAACGTATTTGCACAAGCAAAATGTAAATGTAAAAGAAACTGAGCACTATATAGTAGGTAATGATAAGTTACCTGAGAAAAACTGTTGACAGTAATGAACCAGTGAATAACAACTAACCTTCTGTGACCGACCAATTTCTTAATGAATCATTTATGATTTCTATTTTTGTGTCCCCTCAACTAAAGTGGTCCAACATACAGTATGATGGAGTCCACTAATGCTTTTAGCATCCATGTGTCTTAAAAGTTACTATTATATTTTTCTAATTTGCAACTGTGGTATATTTTCACACAATATTCATATAACCTGTCATAGCCTAAAAATCCATTGGGTTGTGTGAGGCTTTAACTTATTCTGGTCCTATGGGGGAGATTGCTTAAGAATTGGTCCTAGGCCAAGGACATTAGGTTCTGCGAAAATCAACATCAGTCAACAGAATGAGCTTCAATCAGCATATCTTTATAGATGCAAAATGTTACACTTAGGTTAAGTTATTTGTGCTCTTGCAATACAATATTAACTTGTGGCAACTACTGCATGATTAATATTTTTATGGTTGTGTTTAGGAAGCTCAAAGCACTTTAAGGTCAAGGTTAGAGAAAGAGTTGGGGTCTAAAAAATCAACACAAGACAGGGTGTGTACCTTCTATATTTAACCAAAACCTTTATCTTTCTCAGTGCTACATATGGATAACATCCATCCCTCCAACCTCCCTGCGATGTCTGTGTGGTACTAGAAGTCGCACTTTGTGGGTAGAAAAAAAGTTGCCGGTGAACACAATCCAGAAAGCAATTATGTAGCATTTTTGGGGACGTAAGATCATGTAACACCATACATGTAGTTCTGTTATATATGTGTGTATGCTCACTCTATGTTTTGCATCTAACCAATGATCAGTAGTAATTATGTCATAGATACAATCATTGTCAGTCTGTCTGTATCTGTTTCTCCGTCCACTCTCCTCGCAGTATGTCTCTGTGAAGTCATGTCGTTGCTGTGTATTTAATGATAAGAGGACTGCCTGTTTTAGACAGCAGAGACGCAGCAATTAGGGGAATAAATAATAAGAAAGATAAACAAACATCAAGGGGGAGTCATGTGGTGGCAGAGCCTGAGAAAGCAGCTGGAAGCAGC